GAGGGGCAGAGGAATCAAATCCAGGTCGGCCGCGTGCAAGGCAAAACACCCTACCCACTGTGCTATCGCTCCAGCCCGGGTTTACGCCTACCCTAAGAAATTTTATACAATCACAATCATGACTGCATTTCATTTATACTAATTGTTGTATATCAGGTGGTCTTCTATAGTTAATAAAATGTCAAAGAGGAAGCTGGAGTTCCAAGGCCATTGCCTGAAAGGAAACCCTACACGGAAACAGAGCCAGCCTGGCATTGAGGGAGGGCTAATTTTCATTTCTCTGAAGTACAAGTCCCTGTGGGGAAAGTAGAGGCAGGACAGGTAAGGTGAGTTCTCTTGCTGGAGCCTGGGGAAAGGTCGTCCTAGACTCAGTGACAACATCCCAGAGGTAGCAAACAAGCAAGCACTGCAGGGGGGGAGCAGCAGTCACCCAGTGTTGGCGCTTCACTCTCAGAGAGCGGGGACACCCCTGATACACAGTCTTTGTCATCCGTGATGCTTTCTGTTCACTATTTTCAGTGAATGAAAAATAATTTTTGTCTCTGAAAATTCAACACAATGCCTTTGAAAAACATTTAACCAACAATAGTCCAATGAAGGTCACTGCCTTACCAGAGCTAGCTGATAAGGTTATGCTTTAGTAACTAATGCAATTTCAAATAACTAACCTCCAAGTTAATACTATGAAGAGACTAATTATCTAAATCAGTGAAGAGAGATTCAAGAACTTACAGGCTGTCCACTAAAAAGTGAGTAAGAAGATCACTTCTCAGTCTTTAGGCTGATATCAAGTGTAAAAAGTTAGTAAGAGAGGGCTAGAGAGATCAGAGATACAAAGATAAGGCACCTGCCTTGCCATGTGGCCAAACTCCAGTTTGATCTCCTGTACCCCATACAATTCCCCAAGTATCACCAGGGGTCACTCCTGAGCACAAAGCCAGAAATAGCCCCTGAACACCACCAAGGTGTGGCACAAATGGACCAAACACATCAAATAAAAAAAAAGAAAAAGTGACTAAGAAGGGCTTAGTAACGATGAAACACAAACCAGACATTCTGCTGGTCCTGGCTTCAATGACCACTACCAAACACAAACAAACAAACAAAAATGAAGACAAAAATGCCAAATATCAAATGTCTTGAGAGAATACTGCCAATCTTCGCATAAACCAAGCTTTATCTTGAGCACCATATTTTCTATAACACAGTCATCAAAAAACAAGTCAATACACTGAGAAACAACCACTTCATTGAGAAGATTAACTAATATTCTGAGACATACAAACAGCACTTTGAATTGATTTCCCAGCATCCATTTCTTGCCAGTTTCTCAGTAAACCCCGCAAGATAAACGTGCCATTCGCCCTTCCTCTGCTTTCTATCAATGATTACTTCATGAATGGTCCGGTTCATGCCAAAATGGCATGGCAAAATAACAGTATCCACTCTTCAGGCAGATTCTAGGAATGAAATTTTCATATGGCTCTATGAAACTAAACAAAGCCATTTGTCACCACAAATGTCCTCAATGAGAAAGAAGTACCACAGTCCCTGACAATCATCCCATGAACACAAGGAATCGAAGCTTCTGAAGGCACCATGACTGAGGACAGCAGGGCTGAGATGAAAAGAAACTTAACCTCTCAGTTGACCCACGCCCAGACTTCCTCTTATGTGGATCAAGTTTCCTCATTATTCAAAACAATTTAATATTTTTACCCCATGCATGCTAATTTACATATTTTGTTCTTCACGTAAATTACTTGGAGAATGCCGTTCATGTTCATTTACATGTTAGCAAAAAACATTTTGACCTTATTTTTAAAAATAACATAGGAGACTCTTATTTAAACAAATAGGTTATTATTTATAGATAAAGAGGAATAGCTTTCCTATTTGCCTATTTGATTTTCCAATTTAAATCCAATAACTGAGCCAGAGAGATCATACAGGAAATAAGACTCTTGTATCGCATGCGGCCAACCCTAGCTTAAAACATGAGCTCCACACAGAGTCCCCCAAGCATCTGCAGAGGTTGCTCCTGAGCACAGAGCCAGGAGAAGCCCCGGTCACAAAAAAGGGTGTGGCTCAAACACCAGAAACATCTACTCATAAGTAAATTCAAACGCTTTCTCTAATAAGAAAGCTTTTACTCTTTTACTCAACAAGAGCTCACATGCTTCACAGATGTGAGGTCCTGGGTTTGATCACTGCACCTCAGAAAATACTATTATTTTATTATGTCTGGACGTTGTCCCGTCAAAGAATAGAGGAAAGCAGAAAATCAGTAAAACATTTAGAAAAGCCAAACTCTAGATTTCACATAGAAAGCTTGGTGCTTACCTTTATACTGAGAGGCCTCCCCAGGAGTGCTGGGGGTCCCCCAGCCCAGCTAAAAAGACCTGACAGTTTCAGTCTTAGCCCTGTAAAGCAGAGATGCTTGGTCTGGCAGTCTGAGGGTCCACCAGATCTACACCCAGTGGGATAGGGGAGCTATGAGGTGCTGAGGGTTGAATCTAGGAGTTAGTACATACAAGACTCCAGCCCACTGAACTACCCCCTGGCCACTGATGTTTATTTTGACCATTCAGTGTATCTCCAATGTCACCACGCTAGGTAAACTGTTCTAGAGCAAAAGAAGATGTTTCTAATAAGTAGTGATTTAAACAGTAACAACAGCTAAAGGGTAAGGTAATAAAAGACAGGCCAAAGTAAAAGATAAAAACTGGAATAACTAGTTCCTAAAAAATGGAAAAGGCCAAAGTGGAGAGGAAGAAAGGACAATTCGCTGAAAAGTTCTTATAGCAAGGTTACAATCTCTCTTGGCACATACACAGATTCTGTGTTATGTAAGACAGCTCAATCCTTTCATCAAGATTATTTCAGCAGAAATTTGAAGTTATCGAGAAACCAAGTTTTCCAAAGGAATTTAGCCTCCTTTACAAACATATAAGATGGGCATTCTTCACACACCTAAGATAATGTATTTCCAGAATTTAGACAATAAACTAGAATAGATTTAAATTGGAGCAGACAAAATTAATGTATTCCGTTGAGCCTTCAAAAAAGAACCAGAAAAAAATGGGAATGGATATACTTTAATATAGAAAGGACAAGATAAACTTTTGGGTTTTTTTCTTTTTTTGGTTTGTTTTTTGGATTTTTTTATTTGTTTGGTTTTGGTTTTTGGATTTGTTTTTTTGTTTTTTTTTTTTTATTTTTGCGCAATACCTGGCTGCACTCTGGTCCTACTACTAGCTTTGCCTCAGGTGCTCAGGGGACCATTTGGAGTGCCAGGGATCAAATCCAGGTGAGCATCATGCAAGGCAAGTACTCTACCTGCTGTACCCTGTCTCTGGCTCCAATAAAAAAAAAATGTTTTAATCAGAAAAAGCTTTCTGCAACCTAGGCTATCACTCCTTGTCCAGGGACAAACCTGGCGATAGCCACACTTCAAGGGGCAGGAAGCGCAGCAGTCGGGGCTGAGGGAGCCAGGAGCATGTGAGACTTCTTACCTAAAATTAGCTGTGCCCAGTCCACCACAGTTAGGCGAGGCTCCTCTATTTTAAGGTGTGTAGCTCCAAATTGCTTAAGAGCATATAATTGCTGGCCAGTTTCTGGAGCTAAAAGCGTCAGTGGACTTTCCCTCAAGACTTAAGAGTGATCAACTAGACTCCATAACAATCTCACACTTAATCAAAATGAAATCTAGGACCTAAATACACTGCAAGTAAAATAAACTGGAGATATTCACCAAAACTGTCACACAAGGAGATGCTTTTCAAGAAGTCTAGAAGGAACAAATAAATAAATGTATAAGTTGGGGGCCCAGATAAATAGCTAAGGACTAAGCACATAGTTGGCACGCAGGTGGCACAGGTTTAATCCCTGGTACTACATGATCAAGCACCACCAGGTGTGGCCCCATAAGGAGTGATTCCTGAGCACAGAGCCAGGAGTAAGATCTGAGGACTGCCAGGTACCACTGTATCACTGTTATCCCGTTGTTCATGGATTTACTCGAGCAGGCACCAGTAATGTCTCCATTTGTCCCAGCCCTGAGATTTTAGCAGCCTCTCCTTACTTGTCTTTCCTAACACTGCCGTATTGAAGGCTCTATCAGGGTCAGGGGAATGAGACTCTATTATTACTGTTTTGGGCATATCAAATACGCCACAGGGAGCTTGCCAGAGCTGGCTAGGCTCTGCCAGTGCAACTGCCAGCTATGGCCCAAAAACAGATAAACAAGAAAAACAAAACAAAAAAAAAATCCCAATACTCACATGTTTCATCTCTTTAAGAAATGACATAAAACTGGCAGTTGCAATCCTTCCCAGTAGAGTCACCTGTTGTCTCCCTCCCTCAGCAATAGTTGTAACAGAAGAGGCCACTCAACCTGTTTACTGCCGTCCAGGACACAGAAGGAAAAACCAGGGTAGCTCTCAATGGCACTACCAAAAGCTTCAATTACTTGCAAGGAAAAGGAGCTGAATTTTCAAATACTGATAGAAATAAAATGGATTCCACCAAAATGATTACCTTATCCACAAATAATAAGGGTGAATTATAAATGATAAAGCCTAAACCTACACCTGGAATTTAAGCTGTACAGATAACATTCATTTCCACAATCTCTGGGAAAAGACCCAGCATCTATTCTTCTACTCACCACCTGAGACATAAGACCAGTGTTTTCCAAAGTAGGCTGGACAAATCCGAGAAGGCACTAGAACCATCCGGCGTGGGGCTGTAACAGTCTCCAGTGCAAATAGGAGGCACTTTCTGTTTATTAACTTAAAAGTGATTGATTTTCAGGGGCAATAAATGATTGTTTTTTTCTGAATAAAGGGTAGTAGGCCAAATACATTTGGGAATCTTGGACAGAGAACCTTGGGCACTCGACAAAGAGCACACTTAGTACAACGATTATCCTGATATCATCATGCTCTATTATGTTGTGACAGACTCAATAATTTTAAGAGTTAACAGAACACACATACCTTCATTTTCAGACGCATGACATTTCACCTTCACTACCAAATCAAAGGTTCTTCCTGGATTTTCCCTAAAAGAAAAAGAATGCTGTAGTTATTTCCTATGAAAAATAAATATGCAGATCTACAAAACTCCTATTGTCTTAATCTTAAAAGCTAACTTTGATCTCATAATATATTCCATAATTATATGACTACAATGCAGCAGAAATAATAAAGCTCTACAGTCCAACTCATCAGTGTCATAGATAGTACAGTGGGTAGGGTGCTTGCTTTGCCCATGGCTGACCCAAGTTCAATCCCTGGTACCCCATACAGTACCCTGAGCACCACCTGGAATGATTCCTGAGCACAAAGGCAAGAGTAAGCCCTGAACATTGCCAGGTGTGACCCAAAAAACAAACCAAACAAACAGATTAAAAAAGACTAAGTCTGTTTCCTTACCTACAAAGTGCTTTGTTTTGTTCACTACACACACACACACACACACACACACACACACACAAATGCATGAAAAAAATCAAATAAAATACATGGAAGTGCTTTATAAAGTAGTAACTGTTGGCTAAATGTAAAGCATTGTCTTTTGAGAGGTGGAGGTGGAATTGAGGCCATACCCAGCCATGCTCAAGACTTACTCTTGGCTCAGTTCTCAGTGATCACTCCTCACAGTGCCTAGGGGAGTATATGTGATGCCAGAAATCGAACTAAGGCTGGCTGAGCGCAAGGCAAGTGTCTTAAGCCCTGTTCTACCTCTCTAGCCCTAAAGCATTGTCTTTATCTTTTCAAATCAAAATTGGAAAATAGAGTACGTATCTTCCCCTGCAATACAACCTGACAGCAAGTTCTCAGGCTTCCTCCAAAACCTACCTCCTTTAACTAGGGGTCACATGGGGTCACAGGTCCATATAGTATTGAGTAACTATATGGACCTGTGACCCCATGAACGTGGGGGTTGAGTAAAAGAACTATTTTAAAGTAAACATAGGATTATCAGCAAAGTTTTGAATCATATACTTGTTTTATACACAGATCAGTAAAAGGGTGAAAGGGGTAATGAGTAGAAAAAGTTTCAGACACCCTCTCATTCTACTGCACATGAAAAGGTGACTACCTGGTTCTATATGTCATATTCCAGATCACAGAAAAGCATGCATAATACTCCTTAAATATGATACTTTACATAGATTTTTCCTGACATAGTGTTACTATACTGATGTGTGTTTAAAATAGCAAACTATACATAGGTCCAAGGCTAAAATAAAACCAAAACAAAACAAACAACAAAACTAGGCCTTGCTTCATGTCAATTACCTTAGCAAAAAATGGACCTCTGCCTCAATGTTAGATTTCTTCCTTTACAAACACGAAAGCCTGCTTTGCTTCATTCAAAAATTATCAACTTCTGGGGCTGGAACAATAGCACAGCGGGTAGGGCGTTTGCCTTGCACGCAGCCAACCTAGGTTCAATTCCCAGCATCCCATATGGTCCCCCGAGCACCGCCAGGAGTAATTCCTGAGTGCATGAGCCAGGAGTAAATCCTGTGCATTGCCGGGTGTGACCCCAAAAAGCAAAATTTAAAAAAAATTATCAACTTCTTTACTAACTTAGCATACACTCAACCTATTCTTTGGCTTAATTTCAAAATGAGACCTGAGGGGCTGGAGCAATAGCACAGCGGGTAGGGCGTTTCCCTTGCACGCGGCACACCTGGGTTCAATTCCCAGCATCCGATATGGTCCCCTGAGCACTGCCAGGAGTAATTCCTGAGTGCATGAGCCAAGAGTAACCCCTGTGCATCACTGGGTGTGACCCAAAAAGAGAAAAAAAAGACTTGAGATTCATTGAGACATACTTATTATTTCAAGACATAGTTGTTTCAATCTCTTTCCACAGAAAAGAGAAGATAAAGGATCAAGTAGTCTGATATCCCAGTGTCCGTGTGACCAAAGTTTTCATCTATTTCAGTTTTTTTCTGCCCAGCGGACTCCCTCTCTGCACGCTGGCTATTTTTAATATGTATGCCCTCCAAGAAACTAATGCCCACATTGAAATTTAGAAACCATGCTTTATTTAAATAAAGTTGATTCTTTTAAATTTGTTACAAGACAATAGAGTAACAAGGCATATAAATTAATCCACAGGAGCTGGAGAAATAGTACAGGTAGGGTGCTTGCCTTGCAGGAGGCTGACCAGGGTTCAATCCCTGGCATCCCATGTAGTCCTCCAAGCAATGCCAGGAGCAATTTCTCAGTGCAAAGCCAAGAGTAAACCCTGAACATCGCCAGGTGTGGCCACAAAGCAAATCAAAAAAATTTAGTAAGAGAAGGGGGAAATATGCAAACCATAAAAAAAATAAGTAAATAAACATAACACAATCTGCAAATATGTACTTTCTTGGTCTTCCCACCATTAAGATATTGAAAGGAAATAATACATCTCAGGTAATCTGTCTCTCCTCATTCCATCAACGGGATTTTGGTGTATATTTTGTTTAAAAAGATTTATTTTTTAAATTTTTTATTGAATCATTGTGAGCTATATGGTTATAAAGTCGTTCATGACAGTGTCAGTCATATAATGTTCCAACACCTATCCATTTACCAGTGCATATTTCCCACCACCAATGTCCCCAGATTTCCTCCTGCCCTGCCTTAATGTCTCTCTCTTCTCTGTTTCTCTCTCTATCTCTCTCTCTTCTCTCTCCCCCCCTTCCAATACTGTTACTGAAATGGTGCGTATTTTAGAGCATGCTTTTTCAATCATTTACTTGCCTTCCTCCATATTGTAAAATACAAAAATAATAATAATTATTATAAATCACACAATTTTCCTATTTGCCTAATCCTTTTCATCTTTAGGGTGTAAAAGGTACAGGGCAGGGATGGGATTGGGCCACACCAGGTAGTGTTCGGGAATATTCGTGGCTCAGTACCCAGGGATCAGTCTGCCGGTGTTCATCAATGGTGCTGGGGATTCGATCCAGAATCCACCACATCCTAGCTGAGTGCCTTACTTCCTAGACTTATCTCTCTAGCTCTGGAGTATAAAATTTAAATATAGGCTCCGTTATATTGTAATTTTAAAAAAAAAAAGAATCTTTACACTAAACCCTTACATGATCTGAGAGACAATGGATACATTATATTCATCACTTTAGACTGGGGGGGAGCAGGGAGAGGGGGAGGAAAAAATAATTCTCTCCCAAGTTTCAGGAGAAACCTACAAAAACTCCTGCCTCCAAAGAACCCGAACCAAAATCACCTACAACTTCATCCAAAAATGCTTTTTACCTAATTCTTGAACCTGCAAGGGGGAAAAAAGAAAAGAAAAGAAAAGAAAAGAAAAGAAAAGAAAAGAAAAGAAAAGAAAAGAAAAGAAAAGAAAAGAAAAGAAAAAAAAGAGCTGGGCCGGGGTTTGAGGACCCACCCAGTCGGCGCTGCGCTGGGACCCCACTTCCCAGTCCCTGCGGGAACCCCGCGCCGACTGCCGCAAACCTGCCGCCCCCAGAGGTGAAAAAAAAAAGCAAGAGCCCGCGGCTGAAAGTGACGAAGTGCCACCCAGTGCGACCGTCTGGGGCGGGCATCTCAGCCCGCAGCCGGGGAGCGCCGGGTCCCTCGCCCCAAGGGATCAGCCGGGCTCCCGGGCGCGCCCACCCCGCCCGCCCCGCGCCCCCCGGGAGCCGCGGGCACCCGGCGCCCGCCCGCCGCGGGGAGGGGTCCAGGGTCCCCGGGGCTGGCGCTGGGGGCCGCTCCCCGGACCCCGCCGGCCCGCCAGGCTTTGCGGCCTAGCGCGCTCCCGCCGGCCGGCCCGGGGCGGAGCGCGGCGCGGGGGAGCCGGGGCGGTGCCGGGGACCCCCGCCCGCGCCCCCACCCGCTCCCGCGCCCGCGCCCGCACTCACTTGGTCCGGCAGTCCATGGTGACATGTCCCCCCCGCCCCGCGTTGCGAGGGTCGCGCGCCGCCGCCGCCGCCCCCCGCTGGCCGCGAGGCTGCTCACAGCGGCGGGCCCATGTCGCGGCGCCCGGCTCTGGGTTTTGTGACAGCAGCCGCCGCCGCCGCCGCCGCCGCAGAGGCGCAGCCGCCGCCCCCGTCGCCGCCGGCCGCCGCCCGACCGGGGCCTCCGGGTTCCTGCGCGCCCGCCGCCCGCCGCGGCCCCGGCACCTTCGGCCAACCAGGAAGTCGCCGGGAGGGGGAAGGGGCGCGCGGGGCCGCGGCGGGCCGCCTCACCTGGGCCGGCCACCAATCGGGGCGGGGTCCCCGCGCGCTGCCTCGCCCGGCCCCCGGGGCCCACGTCCCACTCGGCCGCCCCGCCGGCCCGCCAAGGTGCCCTCCGTGCCCTGAGCGGCGGCCCGGGCCGGCTTCCTTTCTGGGTCGGGTCCAGGCTCCTCCGGGGCGACGGGGCTGCTCCCCCGCCACCACCACCCCGACACACACACACACACACTTCCACCCCCCTCCCCCACTCCTCGCAGGCTCTTCTGTGCACCCAGACGCCCGCTCAAGCCAAGTCCCTGGAAAAGTACTTGCACCCAGCACTGTTTGCCACACCTGGGGCGCTGGGATTCGGCCCCCTGGTTCCTGGGGACGGGGCGGGGGGTGGATTTGGGGGGTGGAGGGCTACTGCCTGCGCCCTTCTGGAGCGATGCGTTTCATTTCACGCTGCCCACTGGGAGCCCGAGGTTGGGGTGTCTTGGCTCCTGCTTGCACTGCAGCGAGGGCCAGGAGTTCGCGCTCTCGGAAACGCAGAGCTGCCCCTCTCCCGATGCAGGAATGTTCAGGCACGTGCACCTGCTTCCCAGCCCCGGCAGGACCCGAGGAGGGGGGTCCCGACTGCCTGCCCAGCTCCGCCGTTGCAAACTACAGCTGCGGCCAGGGTCTCGCTGGAGGCCCCAGGCACAGAGTTGGCAGGTATCAGCGGACGCCGCTGCAGAGTGAGGGGGCGGACGGACGGGGGAACCTCAAACGTCAGACTTGCAGAACACTCAAGGACGAGTTCAGCAGGTTGTAGGCACAGACTGAGCCCTTGTCCTAACTCTGGAAGACATACTTGCACCGTGAGTTACAGACGGAGAACTGGCCTGGCTGACCCAAGGCACAAGGGCAAGGCTGGATTTGAGAGCAGGGCTCTGCCTGCTGCTAATGTGGGGCCTCTCTCCCTGCTCTGTGGCCTCACATCTGGGTCTATCGAGAGAGGAAATGTCATCTGATGAGACTTAGGAGGGCTGCAGGGCTGGGCTTCCCCTTCCGGGGGAACGGCCTTCTCCCACTGGCTTTAGCACCCTCAAAATGAGGCCACTGGGGGTTTTCAGCCAAAGGGAGGTTGCTTCAGACTTTATTCATGCAAAAGGTATGAAGATGAGAGGAAACCAAAAAATGTGGCATTAATGCTGTGTGAGTCATGAGACATTAAAAATCAAGCCAGGAGTCCTGGGGATTGAAAGAATACCGCATCAGACAACCTAAAATTAAACTCAATTATGCCTATCTGAAATTTTCTTGCCAAAGATGGGTGTTAAGTTGGTCAACAAAACAACATATATTGTAGAACCCCAGAACTGAGAGTCAGAAAAATCAGTACAGGACCCAATGAGGAAATAAAAGAAGATCCTAACCCTAGCACCATGGATAAATGTTGTCATAGCTAGACTTGGGGGCGACACTTCAGCTTCTCAGTTCCTACATTTGTGAATGGGAATTATGACTATTATGTCACACAAGTTCAAGTTTTTTAAGTGCCTCAAATCTGTATCCTCTTTTAAGAAATTATCTTGTGGATTTCAGTTTCACAATTAGACAAACGCCATACAATTTTTTTCTCAAATGAAACTTTTTCCTACCTGAGAAGTAACCATATACCAAAGCCTCGAAAAAATAATTCTTTCAACTAAAAACCACTTCTGCTCCGAGTATTATTAAATTTCTTAAACTTCTTCTTTCACTATAATTAATTCTTCTCCAAAGGACTCCTACCTGGGATGCCTAAATCAGGAGCTTTAAATTTGCAGTGACCAAATATTAATTCAAATGTTTTTCTTAGTTATTTGGGGGTGACTTAAGTGACAGTCATATACCTTTATATACTCAATTATCATTTTATCCACACTACGTATGCACACAACAGAGATTTCTTTTTAAATCTCCCTGTAGACATGCCATATGAGAGGTATTCATTACAATATTACTGAGGATAAAAAAGAGGAACACCAAAGAACACATTAGCATGATTTTTTAATTATTGGAAATTATTTTTAGTTATTGGAAAAAGAGAATTTTGTTAATTCCAATGATAGTTTTACTGAAACCAGAAGTACAACTTCAGCACTGCTTATTTTGTGTAGAATCTCTGATGCGACTAAAAGAAGTCAACCAAAGGTAAACCTTTGATTACTATGAGAGTGGCAGGAGCAATAGGACAGTAGCTGGACTGTTTACCTTGCATGCAGTCAACCAGGGTTTCATCCCCAGCACTGCATATGGTAGCTTGAGCCCAACCAGGAGGAATTCCTAAGCACAGAGCCAAGAGTATGCTCTGAGTATTGCTGGGGGTAGCTCAAAACCAAAAAATCAAATTTACTATTAGATATTCCCAAGATCATATTCCAATTTCAAGATATTTCCTATTTGACAACTGATGTGAACCGTTTTCTAAACCACAGGAGACAAAAACGTGGTCTATATTGTTATCGAAAGAGTACAGTGTGTGGGCCAAAGAAATAGCACAGTGGCTTAGAATGCCTGCCTTGAAAGCACGTACTCATGAGTTCAATTCCCTGATACCCCAAATGCACCAAGCTCAATGCTGCCAGCTCTATAATTTGAACCTGGCAGCTCTGCTTTCTGCTGTCCCTGATGCCACAAGTGGTTTCCGGCCACACTTCAGGTCCGTGTATGCACCTACAAAAGAGGGCCACAAACTCAACAAGTAACACAACTATAAAGATGTGTAAGGTTCAGTCTCTGGGGAGCACATGTCCCACAGAAAGTACCACCACATCCAACAGTATAACCAAACAGTATAACCAAACACAACAAAAGGTTGTGTTTCTCAGTTAAGCATGTGAGCCCCAGGGGCCAGAGGGTAGGGCATTTGCCTTGCATGCAGTCACCCAGGTTCAATTCCTGGCATCCCGCATGGTCCCCCAAGCAATGCCAGGAGTGATTCCTGAGTGAAGTGGCAGGAGTAACCCCTGAGCATGCTTGGTGTGACCCAAAAAGTAAAAAAAAAGCATGTGAGCCCCAGAAAACTGATGCACAAGCATGGCACCTAAAGGGGAGCAATCCCTAGTGAAAAACATGGTCCACTGATTACTGCAACTGAAGCACAAGCCCTGGCCAGCACCAGAGCTAAACTGCATGTGCAGTCACCACCTGGAACCAGGCCTGCCACCCACCACTTGCCATCTATCACCTGCCCTGCTGTCATCCACTTCATAACAACAACATCAACCGCAGTGAAGGAAGGGGTGGATGGAAATTTTAAAACACACACACACACACACACACACACACACACACACACACATACACACATACATAGATATATATGAACATGGTCTATAAGCTGTTGGTCTTTTTACGTTTGTGTTAGTGTTTTTGAAGAAACAATTCTCCTTGCACGTGGTCGACCTGGGTTCGATTCCCAGCATCCCATATGGTCTCCCGAGCACCAAATGGGATTACTCCAGAGCCAGGAGTAATTCCTGAGTGCATGAGCCAGGAGTAACCCCTGTGCATCGCCAGGTGTGACCCAAAAAGCAGGAAAGGCAAACTGACAAAATAAGGTCAGAGATGTGGCTCAATGACAGAGTCCATGCTTTTTACATGTGTGGTCCTGAGTTTGATTTCTAGACACCACCGAAAAAGAAAATTCTACAAATGATCATTAATGTTTTATGCAATCAATGTATGTTCATTTGATTAGCGTTTACTTGTTTTGTCTTTTCAATCTCATATTTCATATCTATGCTCTCTTTTCTTATGCCTAAAATGTACACTGTAGGCATATAACCCTCACATTTAGGATAGTGTTGTATTTTATTTCACCTTTTTTTCTTTTAATTGTGGGGTGGGGAACCCCTGGCAGTGCTCAGGGCTTACTCCTGGACCTACACTCAGGAATCACTGCTGGTGATGCTTCAGGGACCATATGGTATGCAACAGATTACACCCTGTTTGGTCACATGCAAGACAATCACCCTATTCACAGTACTATCGTTCTGACCCCATTCACTCTCCTTTTTAAAAAAAACATTTCTGCTACAAAGTATTCTAAATTGACAATTATTTCCTTCTGTATAGTATCAGTGTAATTATACTTTCTTCTAGCTTCCCATATTACATTGTGAAATTTGAAAGTAATCTCAAAATGTAATCTGTTTTTTCCTTGGCATCTCTTTAAGATTTTTCATTTATCTTTAATTTCTCTAGTTACATCTTAAAGTATCTAGGTAGAGACCAGGGATATAGTTTAGTGGTAGAGGATTTGCCTTGCATTTGTGAAGCCCTGGGTTCAATTCCTGACAAACAGAAGGAAGACGAGGGAGAGGAGGAGGACAATATATTGGTTCTGGTTTCTCCTCCCTTCCCTTCCCTTTGTTGTTGCAATGGGTTGAGGCAGGAAGCAGTGGAGACACACATGCACACTTGGTGTGTGCTGAAGATAGAATACTCATTGTTATCCCAGAGATCCTACCATCACTTATACTTCTTCCCTTTCAACCTTGTAGGGTGTAAGGTGGCTCCTGCCTGAGCCACTTCACTATATCCCCCAGCTCCAGGATATACATTTTTCAATCCATTGATTCCTCTGGGTTTTCTTACGTTTCTGGATTCTGCTTTTATTTGTTTAGAAATTCTGAGCTACATTCCTTTTCCTCTTTCCTACTAATTATGCAAGAGGCTCACTCTACCTTCCATGTGTCTTAAAATTGCTTCCAAAGTTACTTTTTCTTTATCTTTCTAGGCTGAAATCTGGGTAAATGCACAGATATATCCC